AGAAATCGTTAAATCGATTCAGCAATAGAGAAACTGAATTCCAAATCAACTAAAGTCTCAACCGACTTAAAATTTAAAGGCGGTATTCTAGTAAGAAACATCCGAAGGGTTAATACTACCTCAAAATCCCGTCCTCCTCATTAATCGAAAAAATAAAACATCAGGAGTATCACTCCGACACGTCTGCTAGGTTCACTACGAAATTCGGCGAGCGTTCTTCGGAGCGAAACGCGCGAGTATCCGCGGACGTCGTTCTCCGTTCAAAGGAGACAAAGCGGTAATTATTGGCCGGGTATCGCGGCCGCGATTAAAGCGCCGCATCAATGACGGCCCGTCCCGCGATACGGCACTTATTAATTAATTGCGTCGGGGAGCCGGACGAATTCGCGCGGCGATTATTCTAGTCACGTCAGCCGCGATAGATCCTCGTTAGCGGCGTCTATGATCGCGCGGCGTCGGCCGACGATCACGGGAAGGTTAACAGAGCGTCGCAAACAACGCTCCCGTCCCATCCAGCCCCGCTCCTATCCGATCCCGATCCGCTCGGGCGCGAACGGGTCAGCAATTCCGCGTTATCGATTTGTCGGGGAAATCGCGTGCGATCCCTGCAGCTAACCTCTCGTTCCGCGAACGGGAGCGAACGGGATGTTATCGCCGGCCGTTTCACCGCGCAAAATTGCTCGCCGGCTGACAATTGAATGCCATTCGAAGAATCGCACAGGTCCGCGGAACGCGTCTCCGGCCGTGAATTATCGATCGTTTCATAGAGCCACCGATCTTCGATCCTATCGGCGCGCTCCTATTCAATGCGATTGTCAGCTAATGCCCGCCGATAAAGCGTTCGATTAGGCTTATTAATGGGCTACGGGCTGTTTTAATTAATTAGCGCGACGATACGCTTGCGGTTTGTTAACCCTTTGCACTCGGAAGCTTCTTAATGGAAGCGTTTTAATATTTTCTAGTGAGACGGAGACGTTTTTTGGAACTAATTTGAAGTTATGTATATTGAGGGATATTTTATTTCGATATTTTAGACTGAGGTGACTCGGTCACTACTTGATTCGAAGTTGAATATTTAGTATTCCAAATGAAGCTTTGTATTGCTATATGTAATATTTAAATAAAATAGCTTCGTCAATTCATCTATCAAATCTACCGAAACTAAATGAACTTTCCGAGATTCCTATATAACGCCAAGAATGCATCTATCTTGACTTCAATCAACTTCCAATTCAATTTCCCTATTACTTAATCGATATAATAAAAGATTTGATGCAGTAAAAATATGCAGTTGAATATTTACTGTTCCAAATGAAACTTCGTGTTGCTATGTGCAATATTTAAATAAAATAGCTTCGTCAATTTATCTGCCACCGTTAAATCGCTTCCAAACAGTCACCTATGTCTCGTCGGAAAATGTAGAATATCTCCGGCGAGAAACTTCCGAATGCAAACGGTTAATCAATATTAATTCTAATACCATGCAATTGCTCCAATTCAGAAAAGCTCAACAACTCGCGAGCTCTAGTGTCCTTAACCCGATACCAGAACCGCGAGGCAGCTAGAGGTAACGGCGGATCGAAGTTCACGCAGCGAAGAACAAAAGCGGAGCGTCTGCTGCAGCGGCGCTCGATCTGAATTTCAAACCGGCCGGTTCCCTCGCGGTCCATAAACGCGGGGCAGCGGCGGAGATAGGTACGGTCCGGAATAATTCCGCGGGTCTCCGGGCCGCGGAAAAAACACGGGAGAGGTAACGCATTCGGCGGCGAGGGCAGATAAACGGCCGCCGACCTCCGGTGAATTGGCGAGCTCGCCGCGCGCATAATCGTAAAGTGGCCGTCCATATGCGCCGCCGAACGGAGATTTACAAACATTCGAGGGCACTTACTAGAATTACGTATACAGGATCACGTCGTTCGGTACACGCCGTAACGGCGGCACTAAGTTTTCACCGATTTACGCGAGATCCATGCGCAAACCGCCGCCGCGCCGGTTAACCGGGGGGGTAGAGCGCCGGCCCACGGGTTTCCTCGTAAACACACGAAATATGTATCGGGGGAACCACCAACCTTCGTCCTTCGCTATTCGATACCGTGCACCTCGGAATCTCTCTCCCCCACGGGAAACGCGAAAGTTTCCGATTTATCGGGAAGTTCTGCGCGGCGTGCCGTTTATCGGAGGGTCGGACGTTCGAATTGCTCGGCGCAAGTTTTTAATTGGGATTAGAAGAGACTTTGATAATCGAGCAGTTTGGGATAATGGTACTGTTCACAGTGAGCGTGAAATATATTTTTAATGGCTACGAAGTTGCAGTCCTCTTTCTCGCAGGAGTCAGTTGTTTTTCCTGACAGCCATTTTTATTGCGCATTTTCTCCGCGTCGTTCGGCAGTTTGTAGAACACGCTCAACCATCGAAGTTTCAGTTTTTGTAAATCACAGTGATACATACTGATAATTATACACCTAGTTTTTCAAACTGTTTATTTTAGCAACTATTCAACAGCTACATTCATTCTCATTGCGATGTAAAATGGCGTGAATGCTATAGCATTGAAATTCAGCCACATTGTCAAGAATTTGATTCTAATCTTAATTGTTTGAAATTATTATGCACTTTAAACCTCGGAGTACAGTATTTGCATTTTTTCTGGTTTCGTGGTTCATTAATATTTTTACTATCCGTGTTAATAGTTCGTAGCGGATTGTTAGTATTGATAGGAAAGTGAGGAACAGTGTTGTAACACAAATTGTCGGATGGTTTAATTGATCTTAGAATATTTATTTTGCAAGTATTTGAATTATGAAGGCATTTTTGCGAGATTTCCAGTTCAATTTGTGTATTTTTGTGAAAATTGGAAATACGTCATTCTGATAAGGTAATTTTAGCGTTAAGTATACGTGAAACGCCGGAAGTTAATGAATCCGAAATCGGTTAAACAATACAGCAGTATTATAGTAAACTTGCTTATTTATGAAACCCACATCGCATTTCGCTCGAAAAAAGTCAGCCCGATTGGAAATGAATTGTGCCAGAGTGAGTGCTCCTGATCGAACAATTACACGCCGCTTGAACAAATTTTAAATCATTTCGTTTAGCTCGGCATCGAACTAACGGGTTTTTGATCATTCGCATCGGTTTCCAGTCAATAACTCCATAAAAACTATTAAACGCGCACACTCGACCTGTGCCCGATACCGGCGTGTAAAATCACGATTTTATTATTCAACGGCGCCCGCTGTTCGTTAGCCTGTTTAAACGTTTTATGTAATTGTGCTCGATTCCCCGTAACGAGCTTGCGCTCGAAAATCAACCGGCTCGCGGTGCAATTTTCTTCATCGATTTCTACTGAATCAGAAAGTTCCTTCGCTATACTATATTTCATTCCCCCACACACGATCATCAGCCAAACATCAATCACAAAACCATACAAAACAAATCTCATTCCATTCCACGAAACGCATCGCTCAACATCGAATATCAAACTCCGCAATTCACATCGAACCGACTACACCAACCTACACAGAACACGAACGAAGAACCATCTAGACAAACGTCTGCATAAATAAACATTTCACGGGTGAAGACAAGAAAAACCGAAATATCGACCATCGAGCTCAATCGTATGAAGTCGACCGGCTACCGAGAAACGCGTCCCGACCGCGAACCGTTAATTCCGCCGGGAAGATCCTCGAAACGATCGAGCACGGTCACGATTGAATCACCGTTTGCAGGTTTTATCGGCGCTAACGCCGCGCCGCCGCGAGCAACAAGTACAAATCGCCGGTTCGGCTCGGATTCGGCGAAACCGGCGGCCGGGCGGCAGTTTCCGCGGGTTTTATCTCGACGAATTGGCCGGTCGGCTAGCGCGGGGAATTCGCGGGCCGGCATAAGAATCGCTTTATTTGCCGGGCTCGCCGGCCACGGTAGCCTAATTTGAATAGTAATAACGAGAGCGGTTCCGAGGCAAGTCGAGCGTAAGAGCGACGGGCCCCGTGGAACGGTTTTATACTGGATCCGTCGCGCGGCTTTTTTAAATAGGCATCCCGGGGACACATTCGAGCCGCGCGGCCCAGCGGGAGTTCCGTCGCGTACGAGATAAAATCCGCCTCCTAATTTTCGAACTTTCGAAAAAGGAGACCCGAGGACGCCGGAAAGGAGAGGGGAGAGACAGAGAGAGAGGGAAAGGGTTCGGCTCGGTCGAAAACACGGGACACGGATCGGAGCACGCTTAATTCGAGTGCACTTTAATCGCTCGTTACCGCCGGCAACTAATTTTTCCACCGCGAACGGGTTGTTCGGATTCGTTCCGAATACTCCCGAGAACTCCGCGTATCGACGGGATGAAGGTTTAATTAAAGGCTCGCCGTTTCGAACGTCGTTGGCGTCGATTGTGTGCAGTCGCGTACGTGGCTTTTTCGAATTCCCGGCTGTGACGCTATCTTTATGACCGGTCGCAATTAGATTCGGTGTTTATGTGTTTGTTTACGTACAATTGGTTTTCTTTCGCGACGGGGGATACGGTTGATGTGAGATGATCATGTTGATTTTGTGATCTTTCGGAGTTTGATCGATTGTTGGTGGAAATGGTTGCTATCGAGGTTCCGGAAAGTACGAGTTTCTATGGAAACTTTCCGATGATCAGCGGTTAGACTCGATTCTCTTTCCGCGATACTGTCGCATAATCGGCGCGCCGAAGATAAATAATCTCTCAATGACTCAAATGCGTAGCACTCGAAGCTCACTGGAACCCGTTTATGCGTCCGCATCATCTTAATCGAAACGTCGTGTATCAATCATTATACTCATTCACCGAAGCTACGATCAAATCCGTCGACACGCCAATTCCTAAACCTCGACCACAAGCATCCCGTGGTCTGAACTCCAGAACCGTCGAACTGGAAAACCGTCGACCGATCAAACAATCATACGCGATCCGCTCGCGCGGAATGCCCCGGAAGCGAAGCGAAACGAAACGGTCATGAAAAATCAATTGGACTCACTGTCGAAACCGCCGAGCGCCGTCCGTCCGAAAAATCCAGCGTGCACGTTACCGAGGATTCAATGTTTCCGCGTGATCACTGCCCTCTTATCCACTGGCCAGCACTTTAACCGCACCGCACTATCACACAGCGACCATCCGTGCGGTTCTGCGCGGCGGGTCGGATCGCGATCGAATCTCCATGAATCGTCGGCGGGACTACGGCAGCATCCAGTCACAATGTTCCCGGTAGAGACACCACCGGTTTACCCCTAAAACTCGGCACCCTCACCACCGTCCGACACTGGTCGTGAACGATCGCGTTGTACCTGACGACGAGCGCCGGCTGTCCAGGTGTATCATCTCAGTGTACCGCGGAGAGAGCGACGGGAAACGGGACCAGAAGTAGTAATCACACGACGCGCGTCCGCGTTGCCACCCTCAGCGAGCGATCGAACACCGAGAGCCCCGGCGCGCGCGGCTCATGTCGGCCAACTGACTCCGAGCGCAGAAACCTCGGGGCCCTTCGCCTCTCGGGCGCCGGT